ACCTACAACTCACTGCACCGTTTTGGCCCGTGGAATCAATGAAATTGACAGTATATTAAGGTTTAATTTGATCACTTATCAAAGTTTTACAATCCCACCAAAGATTTAATTTGAACACTTATCAAAGTTGTACGATCCCACCAAAGATTTAATTTGAACACTTATCAAAGTTGTACGATCCCACCAAAGATTTCATTTGATCACTTAACAAATTTGTATAATCCCACCAAAGATTTTATTTGAACACCTATCAAAGTTGTGCGATCCCACCAAAGATATAATTTGATCACATCAAATTTGTACAACCCCACCAAAGATTATGGAAGCCGGTCGCACTATTACAAGATGAAAGGGATTTTACCCAGGAAAATAAAAATAAATATTGAGTTCATTCCCTTGGATAACAGTTTAAATTATGAAAGTTAAGGGGACCGCATGACATTTTAAATTTAGAAATTGTGAAATTAAAACAATTCAATACACTTTCCATAATATCATTGAACAAATTTAATCAAATAAAAAAAAATGTTCATTGAGCAGAATTTTATGCATTCTCCTTGTTAAATTATTCCTTGCATAATACACGGATTTCAAACAAGACTAATGAATAGATAGATGGCTACACAGCGGAAAAGTTAATAACTGAATGGCTGAATAGCTGAATGGCTGAATGGCTGAATAGCTGAATGACTGAACAGTTGAATGGTTGAATAGATGAATGGCTGAATCTTTAAATGGCTGAATCGTTGAATGGTTGAATATATGAATGTCTGAATCGTTGAATGGCTGAATAGTTGAATGGCTGAATCGTTGAATGGCTGAATAGTTTAATGGATGAATAGATAAATGGATGAATCGTTGAATGGTTGATTATCTGAATGGCTGAATCGTTGAATAGTTGATTAGCTGAATGTCTGAATCGTTGAATGGTTGATTAGCTGAATGGCAACGTCTGAGGTTAAGTCCAAGGCGTCTATAGTTCAGCAATGGTAAAACTGCGTATCAACCGTTGTGTTGTAGCTACAAGTTTGTTGTATTTTAACCAATGATGATACAGCTTTCCACCGAACGTATGTCGTATCAACACCTCGTAATGTCTTACCTGGTTGACTACACATCTACAAATGTTACGTGGCAAAGAAGAAGAGGAAAATTAAAAATGGACTTTTTCGAAATTTCTTATTCAAATTTTAACTCAACCACAATAATGCCAAACAGGGCCGTACAGGAGGGGAATGGGGCAGCGGCCCCGGGCTCCCACATCGGTGATGGCGGCGAAAATCTTTCTTTAGCCATTAATGTATTTATGGAGGCGTATATCTCATATATAATTTATAGCAAGGGGGCGCTATTGTCACGCATCGCCCCTCTTTTGCACGGCCCTGATGTAAAGGCAAATCAAAAGGGAGCCGTCGGGCCATGGAGCCGTTGAGCTAGGCAGCCTCTGCCCCCCCCACTCTCTCCACAGTTTTTCTAGCTTGTATGCGTTTATATGTAGCAATTCTACTTGTCTTCAATCACAACCGTTTCCACTGAAATTGTCTTCTCCGTTGTAGCCGCTGTGAATCTGGTTGTACCACAAACCCCAAGACCTCCCCATGATGTAGACCGTGGCGCCGCTCGACCCGGGACACGTTGCCGTGGTGTACGTGTACATGACGTACGGGTGGCCGGGCGAGGACTCGCCCGTGGTCATCTTGTGGGTCCAGGACCCGAGGGACACGTGCTTGCTGCAGCCGTGCGGGTGGGACACGATGGCGACGAGGTTGTCGTCCGGTCGATCGAACTTCTCCGTGACCTTCTTGTGGAGCCCTGGATACCGTGACCATTGAACTTTGAGCCGGTTCAACAGCTGAAGGTCGTGGGTGACGCACGCCAGGTGACACCTGTCGTCATTGACGTCCGCTCGCTCCATGTCGACCCCTTCAATCGTCACGTCCGGGCTCTTTTCGGAGTCGAACCCGAAGCGGCACGTCGTCTGCAACGCCTCGGATGTGTCGTAGACCACGTGAACAGCGGTGATGACCCTTATCAGGCCCCAGTCTTTCCGAGGGTTCTCGGAATTTTTGCACGCACGACAAGGACAGGTCCGGTCGTCCTTCTCGGTGTACTTCCACACCATCCCGATGCGGCCCGTCCCCGTGCGCTTGTTGGTGCTCCCGCGTGAATTCCCGAACGGATACTCCCTGGTCGTGCCCGCGTGAAACCTTGGCCGTGCCGTGCTCGTGTAGCTCACCTGGATCCTGACCGTCAGAAACGCGATGAGTTTGATCACCTCCATCAGGTGGTGGTCCCTGAACCGCGGCGGCAGGCTCTCCGTGCGAAATTTGTTGTAAGGGATGTAGCTCTCGTGGCACGATTCTTTGACGCAGCCCAATACGAACTCCATGGCGCA